GATTCATGCTAATTTTCTGTTTCCTGCGGTATTTGAGATGTATGTAAGTCATGCTCGTTGATTCCGTTACGTCACCACAACGGGAGAGAGTAACATACCTTGAGTGGCATTGAAAGACGGATCCAATGCCGTTGTGAGATCCCACATTTGTATGGTGCCGTTAGAATGACCAGTAAATATGAAGCGTCTGGGTCTCGAGCCCATGCGACTAGAACCTTCACACTCGTGCACATAGAATGAGCTTATGATACTGCCGTCCACCGACTGTATTACGCAAACTCTTTTTCCATTCGACGCTAATCGCACGAATAATTGATCGGTTTCGGGTACAACTTTTTGTACAAACACTTGCTCGTCGTCCTGTTCGCCGAATGGTCCTACATATTTTATTCAAATGAAATAAATAAGAAAAAATATAAATTTTCGCATCCTAATGAAAAGATATTTAATGATAATAATAAGATAAAAAGATGGAATAAAAAGTATCGTTTAAAAATAATTCTAGATTGAAAAAAGAAATACTAATAGTTTAGAACTATAACGTACCAAAGTCATTTCCGGCATTATAGCTGACGCATGGATCGATTGCCTCCAAAGAAACGATTTTGAAACTTGCCTCGGGTGTCGATCCAGGTTGAGTTGAAATCATTCCGCGGAATCTGGTCACCGCCCAACTTCTGACGTGATTATATTCCGAGCACACTGACACTAAGTATTTCTCCGAGAGTGTTACCTGCGATATAATTTGTACATAAAATAAATTAATTTGGGCAATATATTTTAATTTGTATAATATGAAATTCTGTTGGATAAATGTCGAACATACTTTGGTTACGCTGCTCTGATGTACTGTAAATGTTTGAAATAGCTGCGGACCGTGGCCAACAGTTTCGGGATGTTGGACGATTACTCTGACACTTCCGGATTTCGTGCCATAGGCGATTTCTATCCAATTTCCACAGAGACCTACATTCGAAGTAATGCACTTTTAAAAGAATGTGCTTTTCATATTACATTAATCATCTGATACGCTTCGAAAATCAGAATAAATAACGCATATAGTTTGATTATATATAGATTTAATAATATGATTTTTATGTCAAATTAAATCTGTTATAATTGATAATATTTTATGACTAAGATAAAATTCTAATCAGTATCAGAGGATTAATTTTTGATATAAAGGCTACAATACAATGAAAGATTTCGAAAATATAGATGTAATGTGAAGTAATACTTAAATGATGTATGTAATTAGAGTAATACTTAAATGATATATATGGTGTGAGTATCATTAATAGAAAATAATATATATGTGATGTTTTGAAGCTCACAATGCCCCATGCTGCACATTGCAACAATAAGCAAAAGCTAATTATCAATAAAGAATAATATATATATGACTACAATTATATTTTATAATTAAGCAACGATATATTTACGTGTGCAGATACGAACGATATTTGAAATTAATTTTTGCATAGATTTATAAAAAAAAAGCAGAAATTACCTATAAATTTGTCACTACCAATGAAAAAAAGTATACAAGCAAAGATACATGTTTTCTATTACCTCCCTTTCCCCTCTCAGATGCTGGCATGGAACATATTACTATGAATAGGAAGAGCAAGCAAGCAGCTCTAAGACGATTCGGATTAACTGAATCCACTGCGTAAAATAATGTGAAAAAGTAAAAAGAACATCGCGTTAGTACAACTGGATGCATAAGGATAGCAGGGCTGTATATAAATTGTGCAATCTTTAATATTATTTCACAAGTACTCCAAGTATATGGATTTATATATTCATATAAAAAGATACGTGTATAGTTTGCATTTATATTCTACTAAAAGAAATGTGCTTTGTTTCTATTGAATTTATTCTTATATTTTAATATGCAAAAAGAAAAAAATAGAAAATTATATGCCAGTGCATCGAAGTAAAACTTGCTATCTGGAGAGGAAGAGGATGTTTATTGCTATTTAATTACACGATTCACGTTTAATGCAATCAACACAAAGATGAAGGCGAATGACGTTTTGATTTATGCAAGTTAAACGTGAGAAAGCAGAAAATCTGCTTACATCGACCCATACTTGCCTTGTGCTATTTATCCAGTTGTACGAGAAATGATGAAGCAAAGAATGTAATAATAAACTCTCATTAATATCTTTAAGGACCAACATCAAACTTTATAATATTCCTATATCTTAATGAATAAAATAGGTGCCAATTAATAAGGAACAATTACATCTAACAACTATAACTATGATTTAATGATTTTTATTGGTTTACTAATGGTTTTTATTGGTATATTTAATGTTCCCATCTTTCATTTTATCGCAAATGAAATGATAATCCTTGCGAAATTAGACAATGCGATGGTGACATTTGTTATTACATTCTGCATTAAAAGCAGCCTTAATAAACGATCTTAATAAAATACGTCACTCGCGTCGAAATCGCTTCTTAATGATTAGTATTGATCGTCTCTAAAATTTTACCTCGGATTTCTATAACCTGTTACTTATCAAGATTTTTATAAAATAAGAATAGACAGAAAAAAGGCTTACTTGTTTTTGGTGTTAAATACACAGATATCGCAGTTATAGGATCATAACTCGGGTCTCGATATAACTCGGTCACGAGTAGGTCGTTATCCTTCATTCGCAAAGGAAATTTTTGCATATCTGCAATTTATAGCAACTAAAATTATAATAATCATCAATACAATAGATTAACAAAAGTAATATCAATAAATTTCTTGAAAAACTAGTTTCTTCAGTAGCGCTTCAGATGTAAATATTTGTGGCTAGCGATTCAAATATTTTCTATATTTAAGATGTTAGAATATAATTTTAGTTTTCTAATAAATAACATAATTGTATATGAAAAACCTATTCAGAATTTCATTTACAAATATATTACTTTTTTTCTTACCAATATAATAAATAGAACCGTTATTGCAGCCTAATAGGAGAAAAGACCCAGCCGTATCAAATGACAGGATGGGCACTACATCCTGTATCTGCCAGTGATGAGTCATCGCATGCCACACGCCGATTTTTCCAGTTGGTGATAATGCAACTAGTTGGCTGCCAATAAAGAACAAGTACTCCACTCGTACATTCAAGTTGAACGTGCCCACGTTGATCTTGATTCCTTCCTCGGACACACCCCAGAGTCTTACTTGACTGCCATAGGAGATCGCAACCATCTTGCCGTCCGCACCACTTCCCATTTTTGCGTTTATCGCCACGCGCTCTATAATACATTCGATATGCGGACTGGTAAATACATGTTGCCATCCAGACGAATCTTTTAATCGATAGCACGTAATGAAATGGGCATAAGCAATAACTATCCAGTTGTGGTGTGCCTTTATAATCTGTACTCTCAGAGGATCTACCCATGACGAAACTGCACAAATGAAATAGTTTTATTAATATTAAAAATGGAAAATGAAAATAAAGAGCGTCATCTTTTTTTGTCAAATTAAAAAACAATTTTTATATTATTTAATGTAGAAATGGTTCATGCTTACCTTGCTGCGATCCAAATACTAGGCCAATATCATTTTTATACAATTTGTTTAGATCAGCTGAATTGTTTCTGGCATGTCTCAGATCTAAGGATGGTGTGCGAGAATGCGGAAGACCGCGTTGTGGCAATCGATAATCTAAAGAGGAATTTCTCATATGCGTTCCCATTGCTCCTTTGTGATTTTGTGGACCTACAGCAAAATCAGTTCTCTTCAATATTGCATTATCTATTGCACATGAATTATATACAATTCTGACATTCATATTTCCTATCATTAATAAAATTGTTTATAAAAATTTATAAATACCATTGGCACTTTGATTAGTTGAATTAGTAGTTGTCACAGATTGTGAAGTAGAAGGTCCTTCAACTCTGGAGTTTGCACTGGAACTAACTCTAATATGAACAGATACATCACTGACATTTGCTGTTACTGCAACAGGTTCTTGAAGCGGTATACCTTGAAAAAATAAGTTCATTACATTCAATAGAATATGTATATGTTAATGTAGGAATTGGAAAATTTTAATAAAGTTGAACTTGAATTTAGATTTCTATGTTTACAATTTTGATAATTCTCTTTGATAATTATTTTTGAATTCTACTAATGTTTAATGATTTAATGACTTTATATTTTTTTATATTAATAATATGATTGTAATATTAAACTTACTTGGAGGTGGTAAGTAACCATAAAATAGTACATCACCGCAAGATGATTGAGTCAAGTCTTCACAGAGCATCAACCGCTTAACTAAGGGGGTAATGCCATAGTATTCAGCTTCATGCCTTAAAGTTCGAATATCTACATTTTTCAGATCAATATCTTTAGTACGAAGATAATTTAATATGATGGAAAATAATTTTGGGTCTCTATCGATAAAAAGTGCACCAGTTTCATCCTTGTGACTATCGATTCTATTACTCAACAGAGCTGTGAAAAAAGAATCTGGAATCCATGTCAGCGTTTGACGGGATGTGGAGAATCTGAAAAGGAAAATAGTTTGTTGGTATCAAACATAATATAGAAAATTGAAAAAAGAATACAATAAAAATTTTAAAACAGACGTCAATAAAAATATCAAAATAAAATGTAAAATATTCCAGACACACTGACACTCTGTGATTTGCATGCTAATATTTTTTTTTTGTCAATATAGATTAAAAATCTCTTTGACTTATTTGTTATTTTCTTCAATTCTAAGGATTAGAAAAAGGTTAAAAGTAAATTAATAATGATTAAAATTATACAGAGAAAGATACTGAGTAAAAATTGACGAAAACATGTGCAAGACAAAGATCGTTGAACGATTATTTACCTAGTGCCACCAACGTTCAGATGGACGATGTCGCTCACGCCTAGATAAGACGCAGTCATTTTCGAGATTGTCGCGTGTTTTTGCAATGAGAATACATATTCCGTGAGATCATCTGTTGTAACAAATCTCGCGAGTGACCAAAACAACCTTCTTGACAGGTTACGCATGCATCATCACAGTCGACAGATCGGCTGCGCATGCGCGAAAGAGATGTCAGAGAGAGGATGTGCTGAGCCATTTGAAAGTTTCGAATTGATATATAATCCATAAAGTTCATTTGTTTTTTCATTTCCCGCAATATCAATTGGTATTCTCGTTATTATTTCTCGTATTCATTTTGTGAACGGTTTTCTGTATTGTTACAATTATATGTATTGTAAATATCCAGAATTAATAGTATAATAGTATTATATTAATTTTTCATTCGTCCAAAAAAATAAATAGCGCGCGCGGAGCATTCAGCTTTATTAAACTGAAAATATTTCTTTGTTGAAAATATTTCTATCATTCACATACCTGAATAATAATGATATAAATTTATAACAAATATATAAAAAAATTTTAATTTCAATTTTAATTTAAAATAAATTTACATTAAAATTATAATTTAATTCATAATACATTTAAATTTTTGGAAAATGTATAAAAATGAAAAGCAAATGGCTTGCAAAAGTCTGTATTAAAATGTATTCCAAAATTGTTTATGGCGTTTTACGGCATTTGAAATATATTCAAATATATGCAAAGTAAAATTATTTTATAAAATAGTGTATGTAACGTTCTTGTTAGAGATTCAAAGCTTATCTATGTTCAGTCGCGAAGATCATGGAACTATAAGAAGTACTTTACAAATGTAATTATTATATATTATACTTCATTTATTAATATCATTTTCTTTATTCGTTTTCTTTTTAACTAAATCATATAATGTTCATAATATTCTCAAAACATTGTTATAACCCATTGTTATTCCCTTTTTAATATTAAATCTAGTATCTGTCGATTACTAAGGCGATTTCGTATCATAGATATAAAATGTAGACATGTCTTTTACTTTTAAATAAAAACATGTGTAAAGAAATATTATTAAAAAGAAATATTATTTGTTTATGTAATTTATTTCCAAACTATATAATTATAAAGATATGTAATTTTTCTTTGATATTATTTGAAAGATAATTATATAAATATATGATTGTTTCATAAATTTATTGATTTTTATGTAGAAACTTCCGATAATATAAATAGCCAATTAATATATATGCAATTATGTTGTTATTAGTTATGTTTAAAGAAGTATGTATATATATATATATATAATTTTAATTTCTAAAATTTGTACTTACTCTCTCTTATGTATAATCTTCCTTTTATATCCTTTTTATCTATTTCCCATACAAAATATAAGACGTCTAAAATGTCAATGACGCACTATCGTACAAAGAACCTTCCTTGTAATAAAATCGAAAATCATTTAGGAAGATAAAACTTACTCTTACTGCTACCTTTTTACTTTCTATACGCTCAACATGATTATATAGAATATTCATAACTACGAGTACATACTACCTCTCCCTTAAGTCACTGGCGTAGAACCTGAAATAATGTTCAAGTATCCTAATGTTAAAATTGATATTCAAATAATATCAATCAATGTATGATTTCAAATTTATAAATAAAATTTATAAATGATATAAAAATATTATTTTCAGATTTTTTTACACAACAACCAACAATAAATTCTCTAAAAAAATGCATACAATTTTATTTAAATTGTAATATATTTTTTCCTCATCGAAAGGGAAACAAGTCGACATCTATGCGTGCAAGAAGTTCGCCCATTAGCGACAGTTTTGAACTTCAGACATTATGCCATCTATAAGAACGATATCCGGTCGTTATCTCGTCGTTTCCACGATCGAATTACGAAAATAACGGGGAAGAAAAGATTGGCACTTTCAAGATTGGCATGTAGATCTTTTGTCGGTAAGTGGTCGCGAACAGTAACGGACTTCCGGCTTTTCCGCAGTCGTGAAAAGTCACGAGTCGCGATCGCATCATTGAATCGAACTGATCTGACTGAGTCAAGGAAACGAAGATATGGAAAGTCAAGTGTCCGCTGATAAGGAATACAACGATTTAATCAAGCCCATCATGTTGAGTGGCAAATTCATCTGCGTTTGGCCCTTAGAGAAGGACCGTCCGATCCACAAAAAGCTGCTCCACATTTGTCACCTGTTCTGGTTACTTTTCGTAGTATGTTTTAAATTAATCTCATTTAATTAAAAATTTTTTAATAGAAAAAGAAAATTTTTGAATATTTTGATATTAATTAGTATTAAGTATTCTCACAATTAAATTTCTTTTGTTAATATTTTTTAATAAACAAACTATTATTGAATTTTCTCATTTAAGATAAACGCTCCATATTTAATTTAACTAAATAAAAAATTAATTAGATTAAACAATCTAATGTATTGTTTGCAATGTATAGCTTTTATCAATGTGTGTAACTGTGACAACCGATACAATTTTACACTTTGACGATTTGGTCGAATTTACGGAGTGTGCTTTGTGGAGCTCTGTATTTTATCTCACTATTGTACGTCTTATTATCTTCATGACCCATCAAAAAGATATGGCATATGTAGTCGAGACTATGAGAAAGGATTGGATTTGTTCATCATATGAAGACAGGGTTGTCTTGAAGGAGAAATGTCATTTTGCATTTCGGCTTTCAAAGATTTTCATATCTATGGTATATGGAACTGTAATTTGCTTCTCATGCTTACCAATTTTAGAGGTACGTGCAAGAAATTAAATATATTTAACATTTATAGTGTAACATAAACAAAAAATTATAAGGAAATGTATTTTAAATTTAAAATATTTATAATTTTTCTAAAACAAATTCTGGAATTTGGAAATTGCGATTTATATATTTTTTTATTTTTAAAGTGCTGAATATTTTATATTTTAGAGATAAATCTTTCATTCGTACTGTTACTAATTTTCAATTTCATAATAATGAAGTCCCCTTTGAATTAAAGTGGAGTGACATTAGAATATTCGTTAGTGATAAAACTCAAGTTCTCTCCGAGCTCGAGCTTACTGCTTCGGAACTTCTCTTTCCACGTAACTTTTTAATTGACTCCGTTATTAAATTGTACCTGTAGAGCAATTAATTGCGGAAGTTTCTTTAAACCTAACTGCCTATTTTCTTAACAAAACGATGTTTAACGATACACTTTAATTACAAGCGACATTTACGAAACAAACGGTCTCAGCGAGAGAAATTACTTCTGCGGATGTTTGTTTCACGTTTCGTAAAACAATGGCGATAGATTGACACAAGCAACATGTGCAACATAGCAACACAAATTGCAATGGTTATGCACTGTTATGTACTTTCGAGTCTTATTTCTTCTTTTTTTTAAGATATCGAAATTGTTTATTACCGTTTCGTGATAGTACCCTTACACGGGGAATTGTTTTCCGATGGTCGTTTCGCTTTACGAGCCTTTCGAAAACACCTGTACGCACATATACACACATACACATACATAGACACATACGTTGTCACATTGATGTTAATCCCTCCGCCGTATTTATTTCCCCGATACACAGTATAATTAAATTGTTAATAAATTATTAACAATTAGTGAAAATTAATTTCAATTGGAAGGATATACGACATGATACAATAATGATCAATACTGAATAATATAATCTAAAAGACAAGGTGGTTACAATAAGTTTCAGCAATCAATTATCAATTATATTGTTTTTCTATTCTCGATTAAATCATAGTTCTTCCACAAATAATAATAATTAATTAATTAGAGTAAGATAATCGATAAGCGGTTCAATCGGTTAATTAACCTCAAGGAATTTTTATTTGCTTGACTAGATATTTATTCAGGGAGGGCAGAGGATATTACCCTTCCATGGGTATTTCTTTATCAATCAGACCGTCTCTCCCGTCTACGAATGTATCTACGTATTTAATGTAATGGGTGGCTTTTTCGCGGGTGGCACGATATGCGGCGCGACTTCCTTCAGTCTGATGGCAACAATACACGGATCAGCAAAATTCGTGGTGCTGCAAAAAAAGTTGGAAGCAATAACCAGCAACGATCCCCACGTTGATAGAGCGTTGGCTAATTGTGTTAAGCGTCATCAAGACGCTATCGCGTGAGTATTTACGTTAGACGTAAGAGATCAATTTTATGTAATTTGATGTAATTTGATGTAATTTGCTGCAATTATAATGATAATTTAAGAAGAGATAATTTTTGGAATGGAAATAAAAATTCTTTAACCATTCATTGATAAAATAAAATTATTTAAAGAAGATTTTAGTAATCGCTACATTTATGATAAGAAGCACTTTTTAAATATTACGTGCAATTTGTTTGTAATATTTATATGTAATATTATTTACAACTGTTTCGGTTTCTGTTCTGTCTGTTTTAGCTTTGCGGATGCGCTCGAAAGAACTATAAATGTTTTGGCGTTAGCACAGTTCGTAATTAGCACCGGCTTGGTGTGTTTCGCGGGATTTCAAATTACTTCGGTGCGTTTTTGCTAAACACGCGTATATAGTTATACAATTAAAGATATCATATTATTATAAAATGTTATTTTAGATGATACAAAACAAGGCACTCTTGATGGAATATGGAATGTTTCTTCAAGCTGCCGTTCTCGAACTCTTTATGTTCAGCTTTAGTGGAAACGCGTTAATAGAAGAAGCAAGTATTGTACAATTATAATAATTACGTATATAATAATTTCATTTGATCAAAATTGCAGAGATCGACCACAAATATTTATTTATATTATTTTTTATTTATAAATAAGCTGTTGATTTCGGGTTTGTAATCGGATCATCACATCGGGTCGTCACAAAATCCATTATTTTTTGTTAAAATAAAGGACGATAAAATTTAGCAAACAAATAAATAACTTATTGTTATCAGTTAATGCATCTTATTATCAGTCCACATTACATTTATGTCACATACGTAAGTTTTTTTTTCATTCAACGTAGATCCGTAACTATGCAGTAACATATATCAAATTGCATATCGCATATCATAATTGCATGAGTTTTAATGAGCGCTGAAAAACTCGATATAGGATAATCGTACTGATCGATTACCAACGCATGTATCTTCATTAATACATAGTTCGTTGAGCTCACAATCGCCTGTAATTAATTTACGGCCAACGCTTGTAACGAACCAGAGCGATGCCGTGGGCGAGTCGGCTTACCGTAGCGGCTGGATCGGCGGCACTTTCGGTCGCAGTCTGCAGATCGTGATAATGCGGTCGAAAGTTCCTTCCAGGATCACCGCTGCAAAGTTCTACAGCATGTCTCTCGAAACCTTCTCTCGAGTAAGTAGATTGTTGTGTCAAGCAATATCTAAATTTAATTTTAGCGATATCCCAAGATTTAGTTACCACACAGTTACCTCCTGTACGTAATGTTGAAATTAATATGATGTTGCTTGTCCACAGGTTTTTTTATTAAAAAATATTAATAAACATTAAACAAATATTTAAAAAGCATTAAAAGTATTAAAATAGTTAAAAGACATTAGTATTTACTGACATCTTTACTAATTCTTATCTCAATTAACTTTTAATTTATAACACATTAATTAATACATATTATTATTATTTACATAATACGTTAATTTAATATCGAATTACTATATATATATATATATATATATTGCGATAAATGATTACGTATTACTTACAGGTGCTCAGCACGTCTTTCTCCTATATAACAGTTCTGATGGCCGCGAAAGAGGAGTAAGGATCAAGTAGTAGCCACTGGCGATCGTAGCGGGCTCTATTTCACAGAGAATACGCTACGAGTCGATTCGCTGTGCCCGAAAAGATCACGTGCGGATCAAAGCGAGACTACTTTTAAGCGAGACCACTTTTAAGATCACATAAAAGACGGATGAAGCGCTTCAAGGGGATCGGGATGAGGGCTGCGCGCGGCGAAATGGAATACGCACATAAGAGAGGCGAGCCACGATGACCCGAGACAGCCTTCTTAGTCGGCTGTACGTGTTCTCTGTTAAATATGAGAGACGTTCCTCCCTCGCGAGCGAGTGCAGGCACAGCAAATTACCCTCCGATTAATTCCCCCCGCCGATAGACCCACGTTAAACCCCACGCGCGGTCGTCATCCCCTCTCCCCCTCCTCCCCGCGCAACACGGTAACCCAGTAACTCCGTTAAACATCGAGACATGCCGGTGACTATGCCCTCGTTGTTACGGGGGTAGCATAATCAACGATACCGCAACAGCAACGATTTGCTGCCTTCTACCGAGTTCTGTCCGCTAAATTACAGGGCGATCCGTAAATCGCGGCTTACTTCGCCGTGACGTGAGATTTAAACGATGAAATTGAGAGCGCGCATCATCTCGTGTCGAGACAGCGATAAGCATTTTTTACGCAAAGCTTTGTTTTCCGGCCGTAAAAACAATTCTAATAAAGGATGTGTCTATCAGAGAGAGATACATGGTCTGTTCAAACCCTGCGATATCATTCTTTTTTTTTTTTTTTTAAAGTATTTCTCTCTTTCAGTTCTAGTTTATAGATCGACGAGTGCTTAAGTCTTTAAGATTTTTACAGATTAAGATTTTAAACTATTACAACTCTTTTAATCTCATCTTGACTTTGAGACTTTCTTAGATTATATTTTATATTTTTAGACCTTTGTATGTCTGGGGACTTAGAAGTGATAGACCTTTGGACTTAACTCTCGCAACTTCAAAGTTTCCGAGGTCCTTATATTTTTAGATTCACTAGTTCTTAAGTTCTCAACTACATAGATTTCCAATTCTGACATCTTTAAGCACTCGATTCCAGCGAGCACTTAAATCTCTCAGTTCTCGCACTCGCAAATCTTTCATCCCACCGACAACAAGCTCGATATGGCAGGCTGCCCGAAATTGCTTCTTCCAAATCCCAATCGTGACTACCATCTGGCGTTTTATGAAACGCCTTGTACACATAATTCACCGGCGACTCGCGGTGCTCTCTTTTCCGAAACTGGTGTCGTCGGGGGCTAGGAATCGGGTAACGTCCGGATAAAATGGCACGATGAGTTCGCCGAGGGCACTCACCAAACTCGCTTGTTCGCTCGCTCGCTCACTCCTGGTGGGGGTAACCACGAAGCGGGATGGTCTCGGGAGCGACTCGAGGGTATTTTCATCGCGGCAGTGCAACACGTGCAACCGGTACAGCTGGCGTGCGTATTCGTCTCGATCTTTCCTGACCAGCTTGCCCCACCAAATTTGTGGCGGTCAGCGGATCCATTCAGCCTCCGGAAGATGTGAGTCGCGTTAGTGATCGCTTTCGTGTATTATGTCGGTTAGTTTTTAATCGACGAGCGTCGATCTCGTTGCCATCGACGTGTCGTCGTTGGAGAACATCGGCGAAATGTAGACGACCGGATGACGCCACCGTTGTTAACCGCGAGGTGGTAATATGGCGAACATCAAAGTGGCCGTGCGCGTGAGACCGGTGTCTGTTAGGTGAGTATGATATTATCTCTTGCCTCGATGAGATATTTTATCTACTGCAAATATCTAAATGCTTTTCTAAATAATAAGCGTAAGAATTTATTTTTTTATTTAAAAAAAATAATATTTATCTCTAATGAATGTTATATCTTCTATGCTATATAAATTTTAGTTATTTTCTTAAAAGATTGTAATTTTGCAATTTCTTAAAGATATTTTATAAATTTATCTTTCTCTAAAAAAAAAGGGTAAGATAATTAATAATGTAACTTTTAGCTCAAATATATTGAGTTGATTTCTAATGAGATTGAAAAAATAATTTTTATTTTAATATATTGGAATTACATATCTCTTTAATTAATGGTATCATTATAATTTTAACTAATATAATAACTTAATAATAATAGTATTAATTACAATAATTAAATTTCTTATGAATATATTTGAATGTAACAACATAAAAAAATCTAATGTATTTTTAGCGTTAAAATCATTGCAGCAAAGCGAATTATGCATTCTCTTTCATACTTTTGCCGGGAATTTCGAGATATACCAATGTGGGTCAAGGTTTACAGCTTTCTTCAATATACTTTCCTACATTTGCACGTAACGTTGTTATGTAATGTTTTAGGAAAATGATGATTAACCTACCATTATTTTCAAGCATCAGCATTGGCGCAAATTATAACAATGATGCATAGTTTAAATTATTGCGAAGAAGTCGTTCAAACAGCAATACCAAGGTAATGCTAAGACTTTTTCCTAGAAAATGCCTAATACTTACGCCAGTGAGGGTCAAGGTTTCAGACTCGGTCGCACTTTGCAAAATACTTGCCTCAATTTATTTTGCTTCGACGTATTCTACAAAAATCGCACATCCTTTCAAATTATACTCAAGCTGGAATCTCCAGATATTTTCTTATCCGATTTTAGACGTCTTCTATTATTAAATATTGTAAATAAAATATTTAGGCTTTCAGTCATTTTGGGAAAGTCTTTTATTCTCGCGTCATTAGTTGATTCTCAGACTCTTGAGTTTCAAGACTTCTAGATGGTCTTTTCATTAGGAAATTTTTACACCTTCGAATTCTCAATTTACGCACTCGTACGCGGCCCCGCAAACGGTGCAAACACTTATGAACTCGTTTCTATACTTAGACTACTAGGGTGGCGGCAAAAAGACGACCGCGTCCGCTCGTCCGCGAGCGGTAGAGGCGACCGAGCTGAAGCGAAGCCACCGGAAGTGCAGACGAAAGCAATTGAGCGTCGAGAACTTGAGGACCTTCTGCGAAGATTCCCGTCGCGAGTTATTGCACATTTATTTTGCTCTACAAATCGTAATTAAAGCGTGATTCATTGCGCCGGTACATTAGCCAAATAGTTTAGAAATGCTTAACTGTGGATCCCCTTTCTCGGTCACTCGGGACAATTGAAGGTTTCGTTGACTTGAATAATTTCGTAACGCCATCCCGTTCTAAGTTGTCTTTTACAAAAGATCAATAAGTACAATACGTACAAAATGTATATAAATAATAATAATTTTAATAAAACTTAGTTTTTTGGAAAGTTGCTCTTGAATTTTCTAGATCCATTCCACCATGCGAAAGCACGAGTACTTAAATTCCAACCGCGGGTATTTAAAGGTACAGAATGGGGTCTCACGAAATTCGTTTGCAGCAGGAAATGAATGATTCCACGCGCTGGAGTCTATTACTCGTGGTCATGTGAGGAATATTCTTTCACTCAAGTTTTAT